TCAGAGGGCGAGAAGGGGCCTGCTCACAGCTGCGTGCGTGGAGAGGAGGTGTTCGCTGGTCACGGGCCGGAGCAGGGGGGGGTAGGGGGGGGGGGGGGGGGATCGGCGCCAGTGGTTGACGACGTTTGTGCAGAGGAGCGAGATGGCGGTGGCGGTGATGAAGAGCCAGGTGCGCCACGTGAAGTGCACGTCGAGCGCAAAGTGCGCGAACGGGACCTGCCCACAGCTGCGCGCGTGAAGAGGCGCTGTCCACAGTGCACGTGGAGAAGCGAGCGGCCGGGGCCGTGCGGCCGCAGCTGTCGTGGCGGAGCTCGGGGAGGGTCGGGAGGTCGGCCTGTTCACGGGTGCGGGTGTGTGAAGAGACGCCGTTCACGCCCGCGCGGCTCGGGGAGGGTCGGGAGGTGTGTGCCGACACGAGGGCGAAGACCGCAAGGAGGATGTACTCGAAGAGGATGTCGAAGAGAGACACCTGAGTCAGTACGAGTTTGGTATACCACTGTGGGGAGTGGTAGCAGCAGCGGTGGTCTGTCGGAGAGGGCCACCTTGCCGAGCAGGTCGAACCAGAGCAAGAGCCGGCCTCTCCGCGCGGGCGGCAGGACGCTCGCGGGGGCCCAGAGCGAGAAGAGGGTGAGGAGGAGCTTGATGAAGGGCCAGGACCCCATCGAGAACCCCGCGACCGCCATCAGCGGGTACGCCTCCGCGTCCCACAGCATGAGCACAATCTCGGGCAGCTCGATCTGCATGACCTGCACGCGCGGCAGCTCGTGCCCCGCCAGCGAGAGGCCGACGCTCGACGTGGCGAAGGCGCCGGGCGAGGCGTACACCGTCAGCATGCCCATCACGCACACGCACACCGCCGTCATCAGCAGCGCGTGCCAGATCGGCCGAGCGGCAGCCAGCGACGCGTCGACGCCCGAAGCCGGCACGCCCTGCCTGCGCAACGGGCGCCACCCGAGTTAGCTGATGAACCACTCAGTCGCCGATCTTAGGCGCGCCTCGCCTGCGCACCAAATGCCACCCCACCACGCCGCCCGCCACCAGCACCACCGAGCCGTAGAGCAGGACTGTCACCGCGGCGGCAGGGCTCAGCGCCCGCCCTTCCTCCCCCTCCCCCTCGCCAGCCGCGGAAGAGGCAGACGGCGCTGCGGCCTCCGCCTCCGCCGCGCACGCCTCGCCCGCCAGCTCGAGCCCCCTCGCCAGAGCATCGTTGGCCAGCCGCAAGCCGCCCCGCCCGAAGGCTGAGACGGCCCAGAAGAGCCACTCTGTCGGCACGTGCGCGGCCGACGGCGCGTCGAGCGCACGCACCGCGAGGTCCAGCTCCGCCTACGCAAGCGAAGGAGGCCTCAAGCGAGGGAGCTGCCACCCCGCAGCACCGCGAGGCCCAGCTCTGCCTCCGTCCAGTTGGCGACCTCGAGACGCGTCGAGCCTATTCACGGCTGCAGGTGTGAAGAGACGCTGTTCACAGCATGCAGAGCTCGAGACGCGTCGAGCCGAGCAGCCGCACGTGGCGCAGCGCGGAGTGCAGCACGCAGCCGGGCGAGCGACCTGCTACACAACAACGGCGCGGCCTGAAGAAGGGAAAGAAGCGCTGGCAGCAGGAGCGCGCAGCCAGGCGAGCGGCCTGCTCCGCCGCCGGCCTCGCCCTTGCCGCCGCCGCCCTCGCCCCCGTCGCGCGGCTGCTGCGGAGCGGGCTGTGGGAAGGGCTGCAGGAAAGCGACGTCCAAATCGAGGAGGAGCCGGACCGAGGCCAGCGAGAGGGTGATCTCGAATGCGTGCGTCGTGCACTCCTGCCGGCACAGCGTGAGCGCGACGGTGAAGCCGACGCTGCCGGCGCCGCCGATGACGTTGCGCAGCTCGTGCGGCGCGCTCGCGTTGGTCGCGAGGAGAGAGAGCTCGGAGAGCTTGTCGAGGCTGCGGAGCCGCAGGTCGGAGATCTACAGGAAGGGCCGAGGAAGGGTCGGGGAAGGGTTCGAGGAAGGAGGCAGGGCGCCGCCCTGCTGCCGCGGGAGAGACCTCCACTCGCACCGTCCCGACCAGCTCCCTGGCGCGGTCGGAGCTCAGGGAGAGCAGCACGCCGTCGATGCGCGCGTCGTCGAGGCCGGCGGCGCGCGCCTATCACCTCGACACGATCTCGGCTGATCTCGGCTGCCTCTCGGGTGGCGCGCCGCCCTCGGGGCCAGCGGGGCGGCGCGAGCCAGCG